CATGACCCCCATGACCCCCCCCTGGATCCGCCCTTGAGTTAGAATGCTTTGATCATTGCCCCAAAAATATGTCGAGTGCATTTCACAGCAGACTTTTTTATCGGGGACGTGATAGATGTGAATATGAAAACACGACGGCGTTAACAATCATGTAATTCATACAATAAATAATGGTATATTAAAAAAACAGCCTATAAAATTCTAATGTACAAATAACTATAACAACTTGAATAACGAAAATCAGTACAAAAGATCAATTAAATATAAAAAAGGTAAACATAAAAAATCCAACTATTACCACTTGGGATCAAACGAAGAAGGATACAAGCTCGACTTTTCGGCTTGTGCTTAGAGAAAAAATAAACTTTTAATGAATTCTAGCGCTAATCTGATCAATAAGTTGATCAATTCTGTCGCTGGTCCCTTTAAAGGTTTTAGGATCCGGTCCAATCATCTGAATTAACTGGGGCACTTCTTGTCTGGATACTTCCGCAAAACGAGCTAATGCTTTCATGCATCGGAACAACTGTTCTTCCGGCGGCTTTTGGTTGAAATACTGAAGTAGAGCCATCGTCACTTCTACGGCTATATCGTCAAACACCTAAAATTGTGCAAAATATTGTTTTTCTTCTATGAATTTGACTTTAATTATTGCTTTAAATAATACAGACACATTTAACTGTAGAATCCGGAATAGTTTGAAGTTTAAGCAATATCATAGAGCAACTAAAAACGTAATACTTCGAGTAATGAATGCGAGACATATAAATTAAAATCTTTATTTAATTGTGAAAGTGTTATTTCTTAAATTCAAAATTAAACGCGTTTATTTCCCAAGTGAATTTTGGCGCAAAATCCTTAACCAGCTATATGCCTATTCGTAAATATACAATATAAGTAAACATGTTAATATGGGAAGATACAGACCACAGATTTTACCTCCTTGGTTGCCAGGTTGTGAATAATCGCGGCACCTCTATCTTGGAGAACAGTGTTTTCAGCTAATAGACAATGCACTGCCACTTTTGTTGTAACTCTAATATTGCTGATTTGCTGATTATTGAATGGCCACTCTGAGATGTACAGAAGCCATTCTGATGAACTCAAATTTTCAAACATGTTAGCTACCTGTAACAAAATACCTATCAAAAGGTCTTGCGTTTGACCAAGCAGTAATCAATATTATCTCCTTTCCATCTTCTTGATTATTAATTAAGTGTTTGAGAATTATTAATTATTAGTTAATAGGAAATAAACTTGTTCATTGTTTCAAACTATTTGAAACAATAACATTTGAGATTGTTCAATTGTTTGAACTGTAATAATTATTACACTTTGTTTAGTTGTCAAACTAAATTATATCGGTTGTTGTTAAGATAGAATGGAACATTTTACTCTACCGACGAAGGACCAAGTGGTTATTTCGCAACTGAATGTCTTGTTTAATCTCTAGTCAGTAGAAAGTAAACTAGTCAGTAGCTACTCTTTATACCTCTGAGATTCTCATTTTATTTCACTATTACAATCATTAATATTTGAACATAGTAAAGTCAAATATTTGTGGAGTTCTGTAATAATAAGAGTACCATTCATTCGATTATGCAGGAGTTTCAAAGCGATGCTTCAAGCCTAAACTTCGCTTCTAGTTACATAATTTTTAGACAAAAATATTAACTGAATCATTCAGTTACACATTTTTAGAATCAGAATGCCGAAAACCTTTTACTTCCGGATGTGTTCGGCTAGTGAGAATAGAGCCAAATGCTCATATTTAAATAACCAGTAATCATCAAATATATAAATTTAAATCATAAGCTATCAGAATAAAAATGCAGTCGTTCTCATTGTATCGAAGCTTATGTAACGACTACAAATTTACGTTATATATACGTGCGTCTTATTAAAATTGTTCAATTCTTCAGTAATTTTTGAGCGCTGAGGGGTGAATAGACATGTCTCTCTGTACGGTAATCTATGTTCCGAATGTTGCGATTGATTTAACGTTTCACACATGTATGGGAAACATATGTAGTATCTTTTACTTTGTAAAAACTCATTACTGGGCTAAAATAGTATTTATATATATCTTCTGACATATCATTCATTTAGCACGTAATTTCGTAAATGGATAATCATAAATAATAAAATATTATCCGACTAAATGTACTCACAAATAAAGAGAGGGCTTCTTGTTCTTCGCGGCTTAATCGATCAATCTCATAGGCATAATTCATCAAAATATGATCTTTTCTGTCAGTATGGAGGACTAAAATTATATCATCTTTCAATGCAGCCATAGCCAATATGTTCAAAATTTTTACTCTAACTTCAACTGGCAGTTGTTTGTCGTTTAACAATCGATCTGAAACAATATAAAAATTTACTACCGTTATTTGGTACACGTCAGCCACATACTGATAAAATCTAAAAATCCGTCACCCAACGCCCAACTTCCTTCGTCTCCTAACATATATTGTTGCAGCTCTTCTGTGGATTTTTGCTCTTCAGCGGTCAATTTTCCATCAATGAGTCCTATCAACGAATCAAATTCTTCTTTAACCTGTAATATGAACAGGTTTATTACAGAACTTGTAACCAAATCTTGACAAGGTTCAAACTTACTATTAACTTACTGTTAACTTACATTAACAAAATCTTTGTAAACAATAGGAGGTTCTCTGGATTTCTTTTTTTCCTCATCTTCTCGTCTTTCCTCTTCTTCCAAAGCCAAAGCTTGCTCAGAGGGCAAGGCCTCCGGTGCCCCGTTAAGTGGTGCTTCTGTGTCGGCCATTGTTAGATCCTGAAGAGAAAAATTTTTAAAGAACCTTTTAAATTATAAATTCTTAAGTAGAAGTGTATAATAATGCCTATCCGTATTTCCGATGACAATAATAGCATTGATGACGACAGTGCACGATTTGTAAAATTATATTTTTATCAGATATAAAATGTATTTATGATAATACATTTATTGCTCTTTGCTAAATTTTCAGTTAATTCCCAATGCTCTTGGAATATTTTTAATAGTGGCAGTTTTTGCATTTAAAGGTATGAAATGTTGGCTAGCGTTGCTTTAGATAAGAGCATTGAGATATATCGATATATTTACAGAGCTAGAAAATGTTTGTATCTCAAATTATTTTTCTTACTTCTAAGTCTGCTGGTACAACTCCACCGGCTGCTAAAATTTTTCTACGTTTCTTTTCCCGCTTCCGTTCCTTTTTCGCTAATTTTTCTTTTAGCGTTTTCCGGCGTTCTTCTAGTAGAAAACTATTGTATCTAAGAAAAAAACACGTTTTAATGTGAAAGTCCGCTAAAATAATAATTCGAAAATTATTTAGTAGTTACAAATAAATCAAAATATCTAAATTTGTCTACTTACCCGTGAATGATGGATGTACATATATCAAATTAATCTGAATTATTTGGTTACTCTTCTAAACAAAAATGCATTTGAAAATTAACCAGAGGGTAAAATTTCGAATGATTCTTTATTAAATATTCATTGACAAATACTGAAGTGATAAATTAACAAGAAAAGCTAACCAAATGTGACAACAGTAAATAAAACGATCCATTTAAACAAACAAGTTACAAGCTCATTAAGGAATGTTTTAGACTTGCAAGTTTTTAAAGCTTTACTGTATTGAAACTCATATAATCCAATGCTTCTCTATTTTAATCCCGGGAACAATACTTAATAATACATAATATCTAACTTCTGAAAAATATTTTTTTAATCCGATGCAAACATCAAGTTTTAAAGAGCACCAAAAAAATTAGTTTTATTAACAGATTCTTAAATAATACATTTGCGGTATGCAATGAAAAGTTTTTCAGCTGAGAACTGCCACTGATAAATCATTTTACCTATTGATGTTTCACTTGATTCAAAACCACACAAAAATATGCCAGTGTCGAAATTAAAGCGAACAAACCACCACAATTCAACACATTAGTAGCATTCAATTTAACATATTTTAAAATATTTGATTAAGCAAGTTACATAAGCGACATCAATTTCGATCTTCACTTTTCTCATCCCCACTAACTTTATTCTCTGACCTGGCTTCTTCTATTTCCTTGGAAAGATCTGGAGAATTCTCTCTGGAAAAGCGCTGCTGTTCTTCTGCGATTGGTCTGGCACTTTTCTCGAGCTGCCCTACTAGTGCAGCAACAGCCGTATTCAAACTGGAGTTTAACACTTCGTTTGGCAAATCAAGGATGTATTTGGGAATGCTGGCTCCGCAAAGAAACTGGGCAATTTCTTCCGAGAAGTTGTTACAATTGTGCGTAAACAAGTTGTAAGATTGTCCGCTGCAATAATAGCAAATACTAACTATTTAAATATAAATATTGATAAGATAACTATTGCTCTATGACAATAGAATAGTTCGGGATAAGTATGTAATGTATTGCAATCCTAACGGGGTAGACTGAAGAGGTAGAAGGGTAAGAATGATAGACTAACACTCGAGTGTTTGTCAATTCGTGTTTGCCATCCGTAGAGCCAGTAACCCTTATATCAAAATTAAGTAAATTGAGAGAACCAGTTGCGACGTTGGCACAGAGTGTTCCATTAAAAAAAAACACACAATTTTAGTACGCCACATATTTTTGGAAACACCCTGTATAACGAAAATAATTTTAATGACTGGCCCGTATAAATGACAATCTCGCATAAAAAATATCTTCAACTCAAATTGACATAAAATTAGCACAAGAAAAGTTTGGAAGTAGATGATTACGTGTTGATACTAAGCCTTGTATATTGTATATTATATATAATTAAGCCTTGCATTTGATTTAACCGATAAGAGACACTAAAACGACCTAAAACTGGTAACACCCTGTATACTGATCTAAACATAAACCGATAAGTCATAAATTTAAATGTATGCTAATAATTTTTCCATTTGGTTCAGTTTTCTTATCTGGCATTAAAAAAGTTATTTTTAATCATAACTTTCAAACGGTTTCTCTGCAACTTATGATGTTTTGGTGATAGAAGAAACTTTCTGGTATTTATATTTAATTTTGATAGTCTGTAATGAACAGGTAACTTATGTTTATTTATACATACTTAGTGCTTTCTGCACATTTTCTACAAAAAACGCTTTCTAATTTTACAATATACCAGCTTTTTATAATATGATGTTGGACAGAGATGAATTCAATAAAATGCCCTTATTTAGAAAGATAAATGTAAATTGCAGTATCTGCAATAGCAAAATCTAAACACTTTTAGATTAGACAGCTTGACACAAACTTGCCCTTATTTTATGAAAAAATTGATTTTGGGCGGTTTTCTCAACTTTCTTTTGAAACTTATTTTTCAACACTTTGTATTAATAATTATCAACGAAAGTCCTTCTCATCAAGACATGCCACTCAAATTAAGTAGCACATATTCGCTTATAGGAAAAATCAATAATATTCGAGTGGCTGCAACTATTTTTTAATAGCAATGCTAATTTCTTTCATTACAGCTCCAAAACTGGAAAAATAATATTAAGTGCCACAAAAGCTCACTTCACATTTTTTTGCCAAACTATCTAAATTTTTAAAGCTTAAAAACCAATTTAAAAACATTTACCCATCATCATTAAATAGGTACTGCATATTCTTATTTATAATAACATAGTTTCGCAACTCTCATACACCTAACAAAACATTCCGGATCGCCCGCATGCATTTTAAAAGTTGCAACATGCTGTTAATAGAAGTAGACCATAAAGCCAGAAAGATATTTTTACTTTATCGCAAATTCCGTCACCAATTGAAAATACATGCATGTGTAATGGAGATATGAGGTAATCAAATAATTTTAAGTTAGTATATGGAAATAGGTATTAGATATTCAAACGACGACTTTTTATTTATTAGAAGAAGTTTAGTCATCGGATAATATAATCACTGCAGTTAAATTCGGACTGAAAAGCACTTTTTGCGTGATTTTTATAGTCCTAAAAACACAAAAGCTCTACATATGTATGCAAGCTGGAACAGGGACCAAGCTGTACATACATAATTAATTTAGAATAGCAAGTTTATTATTCATGAACCCAATTTCTAACACGAATTAGGTACTTAGGTATTAGGAGTATTACTAAGCAAATCGACATTAAAAAAATAGTTCTCGTACTTACTTGTACGATGACCGCGACAGTCCTGCAAGATATTCAATGAAGACTGAATATGGTACTTGAGTGTCGCCTAAATGTTTCACTTCCTTAGGATGCCCTAAAGCAGTAGAACCCTAGAAAAATATTGGAGTTTAAGACTTAGCAGACAAACCATGTGCACTCTCAATTTCATTAAATGTCAAAATGTTACTATCTTGCTATTTATAACTAGCGAAAAAGATTCCGAAGCCATGTGTAGGCTAAGTTTAGATCACCACATAAGAGAATCATGGATTTCAGTTCAGACGGCTAAAATTCCGAATTGTTTACCTCTACTTAATAAGGATGTTCAAGCACTATCCTTTCACTGATAATTTACAGAAAATTGCGAATTTGGGGCTTTTCCAAACCGCCAATGCTAAGCTAAAAACGTAAAAGAAAGCCGATTCATCTTGAACATGTAACCCTACTCTGATACCTAAGCTATAAATACACGCTTTCTGGATAGATCCATGTTTATAAATAAAGGAAAAACAAACCGATTCGTGCCAAATTGTGTCGTCGTCTGGGGTAAAACGAAATTATTTTTCAGTTTTTGGAGCTCACAATCATTCTGTATGTGTCTAAGCCTAAGATAATTGGTTGGTGGGACTTACAGGGTTACAACTTTCAACTCCACCGGATCCAAAGAAATACTCTCTGTTGTAGACTACGATAGATGTGTGCCAAATGCCATCAATCCTTTTTCCTAATAAAATTGGAAAAGGGTTTAAAAACTTTGTTAACCTACAAATGGATGTTTCGAGTCATTTTGAATTAAAACCTTGCTTACCTATTAACATCGGGGATAGCTGGGACGCCAGACCCCCAGATAAATCGTAAATATACACTTCTACTTTGTGATTTTCCATGTTTTTGAAGATATACTAAATTGTACGTTGCAACCCCTTTAAGTGGAGACGTCAAAAATAAAACAGCGAAAAAACAGCTGACCTTGTCACGTTTTTTCGAGTTGACAATTTTTATCTCAACAAAGTTATCTTGAAACTCGCACTAAAAATAAAAAATCGCCAAACCTACTATTAAAATTCAGTACACATATAAAACATTAATAGGCAATCGATAATCTTTTGCACTGTCACCTGAATGTCGAGTGTTTTCTAGAAGAAATGATATGAGTATTTTGCGCGACTTGGATTCCCGCCATAATAACAAAATTGGAAATGAGCGTTTAGAATGTAACAAATTAAATTGTCGCGGAAATATGGTAGTCGCAAACCCGCGTATACCCACATTTTCTATTTTAAGATTTTCACAATCTAAACGCTGTATAATCTTACCTGTATTCTACTTATTTTTAGTTTTTCCGTAAACTGAATTGGAATATTTCATTCCGACGTTCATAGTAGTATAAGCAGTAAATGTATCAATACAAATTTTTTATTAGATTAATATTAGGTTACATTGCAATAATTTTATTTTATTTGCAGAATAGTATTTTCAATAATGGATTATTAGCATCTATTCGAAATTTGTATTTTTAACAATCGCGGGAAAATTTTAAACACACCTTGCGCACTGTCATCTTGGCATGCGACAACAAACATCAGCTGTTCGGATTTGGAATTGACAGAAGTGGGTAACCTTCCGTAGTAGGTACCTTAAACATATGTATTAAATAGTTTAATATAAAATAGGATAAATATATATTCCCCAAAAGAACATTGTGAAACAGTAATTTTATAGAAGTGACAACCTTTCTAGATTGAGTAAGGAATTAAAGTAACTTTAACAGATTTATTGAGTGAGAGCTGTAAGTTTTGGGAATTATTGTTTTATTATTAATTTTATTATTATTATAATTTCGATTGTTAATAAAATTAATTGCCAATGTTTTATGGATACGGATAATAATAAAAACGTTTATTTCATTCAACCGGCCCAGAATACACATATGAATTAGATTCCGAATTAGAATTTTGTAATTTTCTAAGAATACAGTAAATTATCATCAATGGATTAATGTTTATATTTGGTTGAGATGATTTACGTTAATCGAAACTCTCATTAATTTAGTTCGTCGAAAAAATAGAAATTCACGTTTTATAATTAGAGCTTTTGACGTTATTAAACCTAAATTCGATTTTTAAAATTTGATTTAACTCAAAATCATCTAGAGTTTTTCAATACCTTGGAAACGCATATGTATAATGGTTTTGTCACTTTTCATTCTACTGTGTTAATTATGTTTATTTCATTATTCATATCTCTTAATATTTCATTAGGTATTTTTTACTGCATCTGTATAGCACACTTTTCAATGTCCGTTACCTAATTTTGGCAAAAGTATATTAAAGAAATTTGAATTGCAAATACCTTAGAGCGAAAAAGTTGGCATACGTCGATTTCCAGAAAAATTAGATTTTATAAAACAGTTTATTAGTTATTATAATACATAACGATTACAATTTCATGGAATTTATATATACTGTTTTATTTCAAACAGTAATAAATCTGATCCCTTCAATCGAATGCACATTTGTCATTCCTCCAGAGTTTAATAATGGTTTTTATAGTTAATAAATTAAAAATTTGATTAATAATTTTAATAAAGTATTCGTAAATGCTTCATTTTAATAAAACGCAAAAAGATAACTATAGTTATCTACTTTTTATTTTTTATAAATTACCATAAGTAATCTACCTTATCAAATGATATAAACAAAAAGTTAGCGCATTTTACGGTGAGATATCCCCTAATTAAATTTTGCAATAGCTTATACAAAATAAAACGCAATTACCACAAAAAAACATGTTTGGAGCTCGCTTTTAAAAGGTTTCTGTCTCTTTTTGAAGTAATTTTTGAATCATGCAACAATTTCAAAAAATTTTTTACCTTACAGTTTTCCAAAATATTTCAAAAACATGTAATTTTTCGTAATTCTCCCGGATCTTTTATAACCCGTCCAAACACTGCGTTAATAAAACATAATCGATCTTTCAGACACTTCCACTGTCCGGCGACCGCTGTTTGACAGTTGACAGACAAACTCAAAACTTTGCCAAAGGGACAGTTAAAATTTACAGCAAAGTTATAAAATGTCCAGAGAGAAACAGCTTGTGAGTTCTAGTTAAATTTTGCGAAGTAGTTAATAATTCATCTGAAAATGCTTCCCCATTTACAGGGTTTAAATACACTTGTCATCATAATTGACCTAACCTAGGTTTTGAAAATTCCAAATGATGACAAAGATTTTATTTTTGTATCTTTTCAGTTGCTTCGTGTCCAGAGCTCCGAAGGAACGAAAAGAGTGGAAATTAGCGCTTCGGCTACTACAAGTCAACTATTTGAAACCATACATGATGCATTTAATTTAAATAGTTTCACGTTTGCATTGTACAAACAAATAAATAAAAAAGATGAGATTACCAGCAGCAAATCAAAGACACTGAGAGCTTTGGGGCTTAAGCATGGAGATATGGTATACCTGTCACCGCTGAATGGATCTGTATTGTTCAATGTAAGACATTATTTCAAATACCTAGTTTCTGTTTATATTTGACTTAATTGTTCAGCCTTTGTATATATCGTTTGTTAAAATAATGTTAAGTACATCTGTATTTAATATCAAGTTAACTAGAAACGGAGCAAGCGATCTAAAATATTCTCAAGATTGCCATACTTCCGGTTATACCGTAAATAGGCGTCAACTTGCTATTTTAGATGGAATACCCTATATATTCTTACATTTTTTAACTTGACCCCAAATTCTGAATTTATTTGGTGTATAATATTCTATACCTAAGTCAGAAACAGTCAATATATTACAGCGCGATATTTGTTCATTATATTGCGTGATTGTTATTAATAATATGTTATGATGATATTCGATATTTTATATTCATTATTATTAACCGAAATTATTTTATGCGTAATTGGGCTGTTAAATAGCGCTATCATCCGATTTCTGGTCTCATAAGAATTTCGCTTATATCCATAATTAGCAGTAGAACCGAATGATCGAATATCGGAATGCCAGTTTTTTTTTATAAATTTTAAATGTATTACACATGTAAAATATCAATTGAAAATTATGTTATATTTGTCGACCTGCAATATCTTGAATTACTAAACCGTCAAAACACCTTAATGTGAATCTTGATCTACTATGATGAACGATAAGTAATCTTAAGTGATTCTTAATATTATATGTGATAGTTAGTGTAGGAAAAGCATTTGGATTGATCAGATATATCCCAGTATGCCAATTATAATAGTTTATATTTTTTAACTAGAATAATACATCTGCTGGTGAACCGGTATCTGAAGCTGGCCCTTCAACCAGCAATGCGTCAAGAAGCAATATTGCTATATCTGTAGCAAGCAAAGTGTCAGCAACAGCTAAATCTAATATTAAAGAGGATGACGTTGATACTGCTTTATATAAACTGGATGGGCGAATTGAAAGATCTAGAGATGACAAATTGTAAGTTAATTAAGTAATTAATAATATAAGTATAATTAATTCCAGTGAATTATACTCATTCAACTTTTTTGTATCTCAGATGTCGTCACAACGCCAATTCAAAGTGTGTTCACTGTTCATCTTTGGAACCATTTGATGAGGCCTATTTGAAAGAGCACAACATTAAGCACTTATCTTTTCATTCTTATTTGCGGAAAATGATGTCAGGAGTGGATCGTGGCAAATTCTTAGCACTGGAAGATATTTCTTGCAGTATTAAGGCGGGTTGCAAGGATCACCCACCATGGCCTAAGGGTATTTGCTCGAAGTGCCAGCCGAATGCTATCACCTTAAATATGCAGGTAATACAGCATTACTTTAGCCAGAAAAAACGTCATACTGAACGAATTTTTATTTGTTGTTAGGCATATAGGCATATAGACAGCGTAGCATTCGAAAACACGAATTTAGTTGAGAAATTCCTGAACTACTGGCGTGCCTCTGGATATCAGAGAATTGGATATTTGTATGGAAACTATGAAGTGCACACCGACGTGCCTCTGGGTGAGTGGAACATATCTTGGCTTCACCTAATTCATAGCTTTTCTTTAACATTGTCATTAGATTCAAAAATCTATACGGAAACTGATGAAAGTCACATTCTGTATGGTAAATTGCGACTCAACTGATATAAGAAACAAAAATTTGAAACTGCATGGCATTGCTAGGTCGATCTATCTGTAAAAGTGTTGTTCTTCTTTCTTTCTTTTGGATTAAATGTTTTTTGACTACCCTCATATTCTTGTCGGGATACTTCTCGCACCTTTAAAGGCTAGTGCTCGGAACGACGCTACGCCTGGTTTAACTTTCGGAAGTGTCTTAGAACGAAATCGATCGAATTTAGTCCCGAGGGAAGCGCACTCTGTGGCAGTCTGAATCGGTGCCAAAATGCCAAAAACACCATCGCACCAAGCAACCGTTTTTGAACGCGCTTATTTCCGGGGAATTCCTTTCGGTAATTGTTAAAATCAGGGGCTTTGCCTTTCGATAATAACGGCTGCTGAGAGAATGGAGGGTACTATATGCCACAAAATATTGAATTGTCTTTAGCTGCTTGCAGCAGAATTTATAGTTCCATCAACTTTTGATACCTTTGCTGAGTTAAACATCAATCAAATCAGCAATTATCTGCGTAATGTAAAAAATCAATACGTCGTTTACTTGTGAGCATCAAAAACACTGTTGGCAAACTATAAAGCGTCTGTATCGATTTAATCGGTAATCACAGATTTCATAATTATGGTTTATGAATACTATAAATAAAATACATGATATGATGAAATAAATAGCTGCATTCAGTGGTGATTTTAAATTAATTCTTATTTTACTTGCAGGAATTAGAGCAAATGTTGTAGCGATTTACGAACCACCCCAAGAAAGTTCTCGTGATTCCATTCGTTTGCTGGTAGATGAAAAAGAAGATATATTGCGTCAAATTTCATCTGCTTTGGGCATCATGAGAGTGGGATGGATTTTCACTGATCTGGTGCCTGATGATATAAAAAAAGGCACTGTGAAACATACCAGAAACGTCGATTCCCATTTCCTCTCGTCGCAGGTAACTAATTGTTCTTTAAATTGTTATTACTATTAGTTCAGGTTATTTTTTTTACATGAGAAACGTACATAAAATAATATGAATACTCAATACTCATGTAATTTCTGATTATTATATAGAAATACATACGCAACTGGAATTAATCTATAGGTAACATTTCGAAGTTATTTTCTAATCTTCCAAACAATTTTACATACAGTACTTTTATTGTTAAAAAATTTTGAGTACAAAATTAATTTTAGCACTGTTAAAATATCTACATATGTCATTAAAACAAGCAATAACGTTTATCTATAAACAACACCGGTTTTAATGTCTGTATTAAGATCCGAAGAATTTCTAGCAAAACTTAACAGTTTAGCTCATATTTGTCTTCAAAGTCACAATTAGAGTACTATTGATGGTTATAAATTCAACATTCTCACAATTATGATAGCTTTAACAAAATGAACTATCGCAGATATGTTTTTATAAGTTAGACTTTAAACCAATACTTCTGATACAAAGATTTTAAAGTTATAACAAATACGTCAACAGAGACTGGAGAAGAGAAATCTGGCTTAATTTTTTGGCATTTTACTCTATGCCATAACACTTAGAGGAAAATGAGAACAATTACAACAATTTCTTTCAACTAATTCATTTTCTTTTCTTGTTGAAAGTTGTCAACAGAGAACGCTACTTATTTTTTTTTGTTAAACGGTCTTTTGCAATAGGATACTGTTTGATTGGTCTTTGGAATAGTTAAACGCATTATGAATATAATTAAGATGTTTTCGTAGATCCATCCAATATATACTTGTTATTTGGGGGAAAAAACCTCTTTTGTTGTGCCTACTATCAAATTCGGTATAATGTTTGTTTACTGACACTGATCAGTTCCTACATCCTCACGCGAATATTTCTATTTAACCTGGTATGTTCTTCAAATAATTTGGCAATTAAAAATTGAAGTTCTATTTTTCATTCCAGGAATGCATTATGGCTGGATATTTGCAAAATCTCCATCCCAATGCGTGCAAATACGCGTCGAGCGGCAACTTCGGGTCTAAATTTGTGACAGTTTGTGTAACAGGTAAGGAAATTATTATATTGATATAAATTACAGTTATTTGATCTTATGAACATTATATATGCATTAGAACGAACTATTCTTATGTTCATATTTTTAATATAAAAAATCTGCTGTAGCATATACTTGACGGAAAAGCGAGAATAAGGCATGTGAACGCACTATGTGTATTTTTCAGTTTCGCGCTATTGGAGTGCATTACATTAACTTTGGTCTTATAGTTGCACTTTGAAAGGTCTTGCCATAAATCGGATCATTCTATCTTTAGTTTTAGGCATTTCTAATCAAAACTAGTGGAGTTTCTAGAGTCTAGTCTAGAGGGTTAAAGAGCCTAATTTCATTCGAAGCACACATAATATATCACTGAATCAAATACAATCATAAATTATCCTAAATATCATATATTAAAGACGCAACTTCCCAAAGAAAGTCATACTAGACAATGGATTTATAAGCAATTATAAATCTGAAACTTTTACAGATTTACGGCAGACACTTCGATAAATGAACAATTATTGTTTTATGTGTATTTAAATCGAGTTTTATTGATTTTCCCTTTCACATTTCTCTATTTCGCTCTAGTCAAACGATTGACATTTCTTCAACGGAAAATTTCTGACGAATTGAAAGTATCACTGGTTAAAAACCCGCTCAATTAAATGCCATGGAACTCCTTTTACTTCCATCTTCAAGTATTTGCTACACTTAGCAGCGGCTGATTCTTTATAATACAGATACTTTTGTAAATGTCTATTAATTGGTAGATTTACTTAAGAAAAATGGTTTGAAAAATTGTGAGAATGTTTTGTAAGAATCAAATTTAAAATTTCAGGAGATAAATCAAATCAAGTTCATATGGAAGGCTATCAGGTGTCCAATCAGTGCATGGCTTTGGTGAGAGACAACTGTCTGGTGCCAACAAAAGATGCTGCGGAATTGGGATACGTGCGCGAATCTACTGACAAACAATATGTGCCTGATGTTTATTACAAGGTAAGTGATTTTATGTCTATTGAATTTATTTAATAAGTTGGACCCATTGAAATTACTTTATTTGATTTTTCATATAAACTGCTCAACAAATTGAACGTTAAAGAGCCAAAATTAACGTAACTTTCGAAGTGAGTAAATTCTGACTGCTTCAAGCGATTTGGTTTCTGTTCGAAGCCTTATCTAGCCCCATTTTTTTTTGTTCGCTTTTTTGCGAGCTTGTGGAAAATTTATCTAAATCACAAATTTTTGCAAAAACACTCAATAACTGAAAAATAACTGAACTAAATAGCCCTTCAAACAGAAATAGAATCGCTCACAGGAGTCACAATTTATCCAGTTCAAAAGTTGGTCCAAATTTGTCAGTGTAACGTTGATTTTGGTGATCAGTTTAGATATAGGATTCCGTGCAAAGAAATAGTTGCGTTATATTATTCGGTACTCGATTTTTGTAGGCGTTATTTATCTTTAGCACCTTACTTATTCTACTAACATTTAATGCTCAGAATTCATTTTTGCTGGTAGAGCATGTAAACTAGTACCTGTTGGAAATCCTCAGTTAATCTTCAATAAAACGAAAGTAGATCACGAGTGTATTCCAATTTTATTTTTACACATTACAGCAAAAATTACATTTAGACAGTGTATTCTATCTTACGAAAGGTTTGTTCATTAATGGCGAAGTTATCCAGAAACAAACTGCATCTATAGCGATTCGTACCACCCAGTTAAATACTTAATGAACAAACTTTCCACTTACGTTTGCGATTTTTTAATTATTATTTAGGCGAGCACACTTATATATATTTGCTAGTACGTTTTGATGTCTCAGTTACCGAAAACTAGAATTCGATTCTACATTTCTTTCAGTCACAGGCCCTTTGTACTTTTCTTAACGATTTAAGTTGTCTTTGGTCAACGAAGTTTTTTGTTGGTTTGCGTGCCATTCTAACTCGAAATTTCAGACGATATCAACCCTTTCCAAGACTTTCATTAGAAGGTCAGTTATGGAATGTGAAACATTTTTAAAGGAGAACAACTGCAAATTTAAATCCTGAGATTAATCACGATACACTTTTCTTTTGAATTGAGAGTGTAAACATGGTTTTCAGCACCAAGTCAGTCAACTTAGACTTCATTTCAAGTCGAATCCTGCTAAGCGCAATTGCATTGTGAATGTACACACAATGTGCAATAGCGTATTCTTATGTAAATAAGTTACAAAACGTTTTGCATTAGGGAAACATAATAACTATCGCGGCTAACTATTTTATTATAAAAGTGGTCTGGTTTTTATATTTTCTTTCTTGAATCAGTTTGGATGCACAGCAATATTACTTTATTAAGTATTAAATACTAGATAATTTTATTTTAAAAACAATTTCAATCAGCCAATTTTTCGAACGATGAATTAGACCCACATATTTATTACCTTTTTCCTATTTGAGTTTTTAAACTTTTGAATTTAGCGTCGAAGTTTGTTAGTTTATTTAAAGAAAGTTGTTAAACAAAATGAATTGAAAATTGTTGGTTGATTATCGGCATGGTCTTGGAGTTGCAGTAGATTTTTATTATTTGTCATTAAATCCTTATCATAACTTTTTTCAATTTTACCTTTAGGGTTATAAGGTGTGGGTCACATGCCTAAAAGGTGACTATTGAATGACTATATAATGGGTTTAACTTTATAAATTGCAGTTATCTCACACATTATACATATTTCTTTTTTTACCTTGTTAGATGCTTATCTATCAGTTATATAAACAAAATAATTCAAACTAGGGCGAGTTGAACACTGATTTGAAATGTTATATCTAGCAATAACTCAATGAAATTGAATACTTTCAAAAAATAATTTTTTGTTACGGTATTGAAGAGAATCGTTAAAAAACGATCCCATTCCTCCTAGATATTGAAATATTTAGTTCAAGCTCTGTACTCTAAGGTTGCAAATATAAATTCGGTCCAATATGACCATGCGTGAACCTTAGATAACAAATTTGTGATACTATCTATATCTGCATGTCTAACTGATCCACATAAACGCAATGGTAAAATATAATTCTCACATTTTTCTCGATGCTCCTTTACATTTTTGCTTACAACTAATCCGCGAGACGTTCGGGTATGATATGCACGTTCGATTTGGAGATAAAATTCGTTGGTTTCGGCTGATTTTGGTACGGTTAGTATGATTTGACAGTTAGTGCAAAAGCATTTAAAACGAAAATGCGATAAAAAAAGGATGTATTTTGCAAAGCTACAAAAATACTAGCATGTTTCGAATCAAAATATTATACGTTCTACTGCTTGGTCTCGAGAGAACGTTTTCTATATCACCAAACAGTCTTTTACGATCTGTTACGACTTCTACTATTAGGCCTTCCTTGGACAATATTTCTCATTCGCTCAAATATTCACATTGAAAGCTTTCCCTGTTATACATTAGCAAAAATAGTAAATATAAAGTATCACAAATATATCAAATTTGCCAAATCGAAATAATACACGTTGAGTTAAGTTTTCATTTTGCACTTATTCAAATTGCGATTGAATGTAACTGTATTAAAGTAGTAGTATTCGTAATTATTTGAATACATCAATTTTCTAGTGCAATGCATACGTTGTTCCTGTTTGTGCAAAGTATATATTTGTGATACTGATGTGAAACGAATATGATAGTCGAACCAACTTTATCAACTCCAGGAAAGTTAACATATAAATGGTTCAGCAATGCAAATCGGTTGCCAAACGCATATACAAATAATATAATAAATACAGAATAAGGAAGCGTTTGTGTAATAAAAAAATTGATATATCCTACAGAACCAATGCTACTAGAATATATTTGTTTCCTAATAAACGGGTTCAAAAATATAAAACTTTCCTATGTATTCGTTTCCGAATCAATGCATCCACGCTTTTCTTAGACTCTGATATCTTTAACACCTTCCCTCTCGTTCTCTCTGTAGACTAACGTAACAAAGATTATATATTTATATAAACCTAATTTCAGAAGCTAAAGATCGACAACAATAAAATATATCCGTCCATATGCTCTTTCGATATCTATTATTTAATACGAAAATATAGATATACATATATTTCGAAATTCGTTTAAGCTTAGAATTACACCATTTGCGACGATGTTTGAAGCTACACATAAAAACATCTATCATTAAATACACCAAATATTTTTTCTTAAGTCTAAGTAGTTTAGCGGTACCCCATCGAGCGCAATATTACTAAAATATACGATTCTCCATACGAATTATTATGTATTTGGCAAACAGCTCCCCTGATTCAATCTACTCTGACTTTGCGTTAATATAAGTTTTTTAAATCATAATGTTTGATTATGCAGTGTTGTTATTGTCACACCTATAGATCTAACACTACGTAGCTACTCTAAACACTTACTGAAGTTTGCCACATTTCGATATAACGATATTTTTAGTCGGTTTTCCTGCTGTGTCCCCATAGGTGCTAATTTTTTCAACTAATTCTATACCTTCTACAACGTGACCGAAAATTCCGGTAAATCCGCGCATTTCCTGTAATATAATCCTGAACTGGGAACCTACCATTCCCAAGTTATCGTGACGTTTTTGAGTTCTTCGCATTCCCACTGTGCCGCGCGACGCAACAAGCTTAGTGTCATCGGGCAAGAAGTATGATTCTTCGAAAATCGATCTACCTCCCCTACCGTTATTGAGCTCAAAGTCGCCGGTAATAACGCTTTCTCCTTCCCAACACTGGAAAATTTGACAACCTTTATACCCCATTCCCATTTCCCCAGTAGTTAACACGGCGAAATTCTTTGCCATCTTTGGAGCAGCATCAGCTCTCACTTCGATGACGATTCTACCCATTTGGGTGCCGTTTACTTCAATATTAAAGAAATATAACGGACATACGTTGGAGGGTTGGCGCAGCTGTGGGGAGGGCATCATCGGTTGCATCATCAAATTATTATCCTGATAGATGTTTTTAGGTGTAGCGACGAACTGGGGAGGATTATGCGCATGGGCGAGGTAGTTCAAAGGAGGTACCGTGTTTAAGGTTTGGTGGTTTTGATTATGGTTTTGGTAATCGAGGACCCCGTTAATCGGTTGTTTAGATAACACGTGACGAGAGTATAGTTGGGACATACAATAATTCGCTAAGAAAAGGATGGGGTTTTGTTGCGAAGGAGTCAGAAGTCGGGAATTCCCCGGGAACAATGCTTCGCCGTTTTGGATGCTGCTGAGCGCTTGCTTCAGTAACTGAAAGTCGAAGATCACCGATGAGTTTCGAATGAGGTCATCCAGTTGACATTGCAGGTACATTTCATGATAGCGCAACTGAAGACGGTGCTTCTCCATGTTGACGTTCGCGTTGATACTGTGCACGTCGGACAGTGTTTCTGCCATCGATAGGTTCAAACGGAGTTTCGCCAAAAGATCACGAGTCTCACCTGAATTTAAACTTTCCGTGTTGACGAGAGAATGCCACGAAACACAAATGCTTACCGATTTCGAAGTGAGATGCGTTATTCGTTAGGTCGGCTTCGACGTGAGTTTTTAACGTTACACACGCCTCAAGAATCTTCAGCAGGAATTCGCGCTGCTGCTTTGCCAGTCTTTGTATCTCGGAAAGCATCTATAACGGTTAAATACAATTCAATGAACAAGTTTCCATTGACCTGAAGTCGCGTTTGAGGCAACAGACTAAACAAAACTGTGAAGATTTTGGAAAATGTATTCTGGGGCTCCAAATAAGATTCTTTCTTGGACGAATATCATGACGAAGTCACGCCTTTACTACCAGAAACTTTATGACCTAGAAAATAACTTTCATGTGTAATAATGATTAAAGCGGGTATAGAAACAATAAAATTGAATCCTAATAAAAGGGAAATTTAACAATGACTAAAATTTCAAGATTGGCAACAGGTTTACGATGAGTAACTGAAAGAGCAATGCGTTCAACAGTACATGCCAACATGGGTTATAGAACAATTATTTGAAATAACACCTGGACGGGTTTAGGCACTTCTATTTTAATAAAGAATATGCTTTTATTATGATGTTTTAAGCTTTAGAAGCCGTAGAATTACGAAAAAAAAAATATTTAAAATACTTTATGGTTCCCAGTATGTAGTAAGTTGATGCACGACTTTGAGGAGAGGAAACTTGTGCAAAAATAATATTACATGACACTGAAATCTGAAATCATTTGAGTTGTTGTTCCAAAAAAAAACTAGAAAGAAGATAAGAAATATTTTTTAGCACAAACTCTAGGCAGGATGGAATCACCTACAACGTATTTAGAGTACTATATTTAGTGTTATTATTTCTCATACCTACAGAAATAATTGCATATGCATTATGATACCAAGAAGAGATGTAACTAAACCAAAAGATCTAAATGGGAAAAGAAAGCCCTGAGTTTTCATACAGTGTCGGCGGGATATTTTTCAACCAGGATAATATTGAATATAAAGCAGAGAGCAAGAAACAAATTGCAATTGCTTGAAATGCTATAAAGATAAGCAAAATGAGTAGTTCTCTGACTACCAAAACGACTTTTACCTTGTTCATCGATGCCAGGTCGATTTGCATTTCCGCCACTAGATGCTCTTTGGCTTCAGTTTGAGATTTAACTTTGTGAGTGGCGTGCTCAGCGGTCGCCGCGCATGCTCTGCAAAGTGAGGTACCGCAGGTATGACACCATAGAACCAGAGGCATCGCATGCGTGTGGCAGTTTTCCGAACCAATCTAAATTGATTGATTTTTTTGGTGAACAAAAAATTACAATGTGGTGTATTAAAACACCATATCTTAGATATTCAATTTAACTGTACATGCAAGCTATTCGGAATATTTTTTATTCCAAAACACTTTTGCTGCACAACAGAAATTTGTTTGTGTTTTTGCAAGTTTCTTTAAAACTTATCTTAAATATTAATCTCAGATTATTCACCTGGGTATTATGGGTCTTATCGCGTAACCATAAGAAATTTTATTTAATATGTCTTTAGTTAATTGGAATAAAAATAACTTTTCAATAGAAGCTGTAAATGCGGAAGATATATTTGTATTTCAGTACGCTTAATAACTTTTTGTTCAAATGATACTTCGTGATGCATTTTATGGAAAAATGTAATTCGTCTATAAGAAATATCATGAAACCAATATCAATTCGAATCCAACAAATGGAAATAAAAACTACGCTTTCCGGTAAAAATTTAAATTTGATCCATCGCTACTAAATAATCGAAGCTTGATGTTTGGACTCAATTGACGACGTTTCCAAACAAAATGATTTATTTGATGTCCTTCGATGGTTTACAGGGGTTTTTCTGGGCGCTTCTTGTTTTCGCAACTTAAATAATTATTTATCATACCTGTGCACCGGTTTGTCAAGTTAAAAAAACGTTCAAGTTCAATGTAAACTAAAACCAAAACTATTGAAAAACACTCTTATTTTGTAAATGTTTTTTAAACATTTCTGAAAGCATGTTGTTCTTACCTTAGGCGTTATTGGTGTTTTATCGGGAGGTTTTATGCCGATATTCAACTGGGAAAAGTTCTTCGCCAAACAGAGTACCGGAGTGTACGTGGGCAACGACTCCGGGCCCAAATCCCCCAGTTCGGTTTTTTTCCAGCAGTAAACGCAATATAATTCGTGGCCCTTGGTGAGACTTGTGCGTGTGCACTGTAAACAGAAGTAGTGTTTGCACGAAAGCAGCTTCGGGCTCAGTTCGGAATCGTTAAATTTCTGTCTGCAGTACCCACACACCATCAGCTCTTCGAATTCTGATACAACGGGATCCATTTCTGAAACTGAAATCAAAAGTTAGGTGTTTAAATTCTTTCGATAAACTTATTTATGGTATAATTAATATTGAGACAACTTGTCGGTTATAGTTCAGACCGGTGATTTTTTGCTTTTGCTTTCGAGCGAAACACTTTTGAGGTTGCAACCCACTCGTGCTTGCGACGTCAAACAGATACTCTTCTAGAAGCCCGAAAACTTCCCCAGTTTCGAGCAATGGCAACGAAAGTCGAAATTTTTTAATATTATTCAAACCATTTTAATTTTCCAAAGGGCAATCAAAATGAACGACTATTGTCTTCCTGAAAACACTATTTTTTTTAAATATCTTACACATTACTAATCATAGCTAACTCATTCATTAAAAAAAAAGTTCATAAGTTCACGATGCGCAATAAAAAAGCGATTTTTTTTCGGATAACTGATTGAATTGGGAATATTAGCAAAGGTGAAAGTTGACCTTAAATATTCAAGGGATACTTCCTTACGTAATTTCCCATTGTTCCCCTTAGTAATATTTCAAAATATGTCCTCGATTAAATAAAATATATCATAATGACACTTCCTAACTGTAGATTAGAACTTTAAGGCCCATTTAGGTATTTGCTTGAGAGCGTGCGAAGCTGCTGAATATATTCATCGCCATGTTTCAACCACTCGGAATAATTTTATTTCCCGATTACTTAAGAACGGCAAACCTAAACAAAAACGTGCTTTGCACTAAAAGCTCGTCTGTTTATTCAGCTTATCGATTAATTGAATATATCTTAATTTTTCATAATGTCTATTTCGGTTTTTCCTGAATGTTTTCCAGTTCTCAGGGTTTCAAACGGCTTCGTTTTCCTACTGTTTTATATTAGATCGAATGTCCCCAATCCGTCCTAAATATATGGTATTATTAGACAATATGAGGTATATGAGATCGATCATATCCAAGGTTGCGTATTTTTATTATTGGTGTATTTTTGTAATTTACAAGTCTCCTGCAACTTAACTAACAGGTATGATGACGAATGGTATTAATTCTTGTGCAGTCTGGTTTTACGAATTTTTCTTCCACCAAAAATGCCTTAGTTCGATAGCACAGTAGGGGCTTTAACCATATACATGGGCATATAAAACCACTTTGTGTTACACATAACTATATAACTCATTGCTTGGACAAGTCTTTTAAATGTTAGTTTGGACTAACAAATTTTAGCAGTTGCGTTGCTTTGTCGCCTGAATATTATTTTCCCATTAATTATAAGTCAATGTAAACATATAATTACATGTTTAATGATTGGAGGCAAACATCACGTGGTAAAATTCACGTGCTATGTGTTTTGAACATTAACCAGCAGTTAAGTTCGTCGCACAAGATAAATTTGAGTATCATTTTTTCTGCATCATGTGGCTATTGAAAAAGTAATGTTTCGCAGTTTAAAGAAACAACATTCTCAAATGAAGTGTGTTAGAAAATCTTTATTTATTTAAAATTATCCATCTGAATATTATACGATAAGTAAACGTTGCGAGGATTTGCAAAATTACCAATACAGCCATTTGTTTTAGTTGAAAAGATGTTGGATGGTTGAAACTGTATTTGTTCAGACTGGTATTGAAACTACTAACAGCCAAACTTTGGTTGGTAAACCCGATTATTTCCCTTGTTGCACTCTTTTATTCTTTGGACATTCCAAGAAATGGACTAAGATTTTAGAAAGCCGCTTTATTTTTAAATAGTATTATAATACAAAGTGAAAAATGTTAAAAGTAACATATTTAACTCATAATCTCGTTTTCATTAACTTTTGCTTCGAACTGAACAACATTTTTACTCAAGCATAAGATCTTATACACTAATAACAATGTACAAGCAAGACTATTAGAGGAAGAAGAACTTGAGTTGGATATTTAATGTTGAATGTTCTATTTGAAAATTATCAAATATTTTATGTCAATTTCTGAATGTATTTTAAAAAATCTGACAGAATTTTCGCAGCAATCGTGAGAGCTGATGCATTTACTTACGCGAAAAGTGAAGCAAATTAACTGCTAAGGGAAGTTAAGGAAGTTATTTAACTCGCAATATCAGATTTTTAGAACCATTTTTCGCATTAATGGGCATCTAAATTGAATTTCACCCGTAACAGTGTTAAAAGTCCAATGATTATGTGGCACTAGGCCATAGTTGTTCGTTCTAAATATATATTCCATTTGTTTAACTATTATTACCCAAGGTCAAAATTGATTATTTTAAAAAATGCATTTTAAGCATTTCCTTATTTGCCTGCAGCTTATGGAATATGGTTTTTACACTTCATTGACTATTTTCAAGGTTCAATTAAAAGTTAAACCAAATGTTTTATGGTGCTTCAAGCATCTGCTCTAACTTTTAATCCTGATCTGTTTAAATGTATGTACATATTCTTGCAGCAACTGCGCTGGTTGTTTGAATTATTTTCAAAGTTTACAAAAAGCTCAAAAAGTAGTTTCAGTAGCTTTAAAGTAGGTATGTAGTGCGTGACAAGATAACACTAAATCAAACAATTACTTCTATTGCTTGAGGGATGAGACAAGTGGCAAAAAGAAACCTTTTTGCATTTAATTTCTTTGCTAATTTTAGGGGTTTAGTACTACCCCATAATAATAAACGAACCTTTTTATTTATGTTAATTTTAGTTCTTCCCTCTCGCTATTCAAGTGCGTGGTTTTGTTTACTACGGCTTATTCAAGGTGTTTTGTAAGTACGTGATGTACAGAGCAATAAGGCATTTTTTTCAAAAACATCAAAATGTTATTGTTTGACCATGCAATGTTTTCATTCAGTAAATAATCGCTACTGCATTTTAATTTGTTATAATTACTCGACAAGTTGGTTGCCGTTTTCAGTATCGTTTAAATATTTTTGCATTTAATTTATGTTGAAAATGGTTCAACCTAGCGCAAAAACTACAACATACTAAAATAACTTAGTAACAAACTCCTGAACGGACAATTTAACGCTAGTTACATATCATTGGCCTACACTTTTATGTACCTTTTTACAAATCTTCGTGAATAGTCGTAACATATATTTATATTATATTGAGTAAATTGAACCCGAGTTAAAAATTGAACAAACATTTTAAAATCTTCATTTATTAGAAAGAACGCGATTCTGAAGAAACCAATCAATCAAAATAACACGGTTGAGTTGGGAGCACAAAAAATGCTGTTGGGTTCATAAGTCATTTTGGATTGGAGGTAAAACTATAAAACGCTTGTGACTGCATTCATTTGTCCTCGTTGCAGTATTTAAGTTTCTGTAAGTTTTTCATCAATTCTTATTGTTGAATATTAAATGAGCCGAATCTAGTTTTAAAATCTAGATACAAATTTTATTATATTTATTCTTATGTGCATAAGATTATTTAGTAAGTAACATCGTTCATTATGTAACTCTCAATTGTTTAACTTAATTCACGACGCTGTAGATAACACAATCTTATAGATATGAAAAACAAGCATAGAAAACTTCATTGCAAACGTTAATTGAAATTACGCTTAATTCACTGCTGTCCATTTCGTTTCGCAGTAAACAGAAAATCGTCCGAACCACCGAGTTATTTACAAAGCTAAAATGGGAATAAATTTGTTGGGTTCCTAATTTTTCATCGTCACAGTTTTACACAAATGTATCGAGATGCATGTCGGTTTTAATCAAATTCGCTCGTCAATTATGTATGTAGGCCCGATTATACTCTTTTTAAACGTATAGGTCATAATGTCAAGGATTTCGCATTAAAAATAGCTGGTAAAAACCGTTCTTTAGACGAAAATGTGTTTGGGTCATAAAACGTTAACAACATTTAAGAGAGCTGTTAAGAGAGATATGAGTAAGTCATTTCGGTAAATATTTGCTCTTTGCCGAGTTTTGATAAAAATCCGACAGTAAAATGCAGATTGTAAGGTCCCGTCGAACATGCACACCTTCGAAATTTAATACCTGGGAGCGGTTGTAAAGGTATTCGATGGGATTATCTAAATGCTATTGGTAAAAGTGGTAAAATGTAGAAGTTGTGATAGTGCACATCTCGAATTTTTAATTTAGAATTTCAGTAACCCAGTGGAGCGTAAAACTTAATATTTTACCATCAATTTAACGATTACCCCTAAGAATACCAGGAACAACTGTTAGAGTTAATTTATGTTATTGAATACGCAAAGATTGGCTAGTAATTATAAGTACGTAAGTTTCGTTGTAAGTTTCAATTTTGCCAATTTGGATATTATTTCTTGATGAAATTTTTCAGCCAATAATGTCAAATGCAGTTTTGTACACATGATTAATAACTTATATCTTCTTTTTTTTACTGTTATGACAATCAAGTGATGCTTCCTCAATTTTCATATTATAGAAACTGATATTATGAAAAATGTATAACACTTCTTCTACCCCTTGCAACTAGTATGGAAAATCATTCACGAACGGTAAACGGAAGCAGTCTTCCAGGATACTACAATAGACTTTGAGACAGTTCACAGTCTGACCCTGAATAAAGCTTTCAAAACTGAAAAGCTGTTTAGATATTCCATTTGATAGATCATTAATCACCGGCTACGGGGCTGGAAAAGGCAAGATTATAGTGGATTTAGACGACGTTAGGATTTGAAAAATTGTAATCGTGAAAACCAACAAAAAGTGGATAAATATTAACCAAGAATCAAGCAATAACAAGTCAAGGATAAATCGTGACAACTGTAGATCTCCAGCATGATTACTTTGATCAGATTTTAGGCATACAGAGTTTTTTGTTTGCCGCTATCACACACGTGCATTCTGAAGATTTGCCCCAACGACCGTGCCATATTGATCACAAAAAATGATAATAAATGCATGCATTTGACGGTATAAGTTTTGGCTGAATATCATGGAAATACCTACTTTCAAAGGAGATTTTTTTACTGAAACTGAATAATGGGAGTTACATAGGCTTGAAACTGAAAAAAATACTTGAAATATGATATGTGATTTAGTTTTCCG